CGATATCAGAGCCACTTTATATATATATATATATATATATATATATCTGTTTGCTCTTCACTTACTCTTTAATTACAGCAAAATATAATTAGCTTGAACTAAATTCACATAGTCAAACCCAAACAGATAATAAAAATAAAACTCTGCTTGAGTTCACTGCTTTACGTCCACTATATTTAAAAAGGAAAATAGTAATTTTGTGATAATAGTTGTCAGTTATTTCACATTCAAACATCCAGGGCTTTGTGTTTTAGTTGTTTACATGGTTCATGTCACAGCAAATGATCCACAGTATTGATAGTGTTGATAACTAGCAATCTCACAAACACAGCGATTACATCATAAAGTAAAACTCAGTTTGTTTTCTGCTCAAATCTTTCACAACAAATCCACAATATTTCTGCTAAATTGAGACGCATGTACTGTATCACTTCCCTGACAATTAAAATGGCTATAAAAAATATATATTTTTTACAGCACAATTAGAGCTATTGTCTCACTCTTCTCGCTCTCACATCTGTCCATTTTACACATTGTTCACAGTTGTGATGTTGTTGCAATCGTTGCAAGGCTGATTATTTTGTGTGTTTCTCACATAATCTTTAGACTACAAATCAAATTGAATGAGAAAATCTTTCATTTTTATCCAACTGATTAATTATGAACACTTGAGTCAATCAATCACATCACTTTTTACCCACTGTGATGCTGGTTATGGAGCTTTATTGCTTAATAAAAGCAGAAAAAAGGTGATTATCTGTACACCTAAATGATCAGACATAACTTAACCTCAGATTTTATCATATCATTCAAAACATTATCAGATCATACATTCTTATGAATACCACACAGTACGCAGGATTTTAATCAAATAAATCAGACAATAAAGTTTTTTTTCATCATAAACTGTTTTCGAACTTTATTCTCCTTAAGGGAAGAAACAGTCTGTTCAGATGAGCAAGAGGTGTAACTGTGCATACAGTATGCGAGAGTGTAGCATAAGAGGGCAGTTAATAACTGTATTATTATCAGGAGCATCAGTAATAACATTAACAAGAATATTGAGAGTGTGTTATTTTTCATAAAAAGACACAATGAAATACAAGGAGGAGTATACATGAAGACAATCAGCCAGTTGTTCAGGCCGCTTGAACATTTTGATTTGGGTAGAGATAGCTTGTGCACGAAAACATGGCAGCAGTGTCCCAGGTCACCTTTGTCACAGCCTCATTTAATGGTATTTAATCATTAACAGATACCTTGTAAAAGTGGACATGAAGGAGTGATCAACTGGATCAGGTGGCAGCGGGTCACTATCTCACAGCTCCACAACGATATCGTCTAATAAGCCCAATAACAGTCCCTGTTAATTATTACAAATTAAACACAGTTTAACTTGGCCAAACCGTTGCAGGTTACATCATAATGAATGAATATCATCTGGTTATGTTGTAGCCATTGTTCTCTGAGTGGTGAGACTATCTCTGCACTACATGGATTCGTCTTTAATAAGACTTACTGGCTTGCTCGGGCCACATCCTGCAGATTATAGACTCGCTGATGGTTTGAATAGGAAATGTCTCTGAGCAGCCGTAACAGTCTTATTTTAATCACAATTAAAATGAATATCACAAAGTGCAATGGGCGAGTGCGGTAGACAGTGCAGGAACTGTCATACATTACAGTAAGATCATTTCTTTTTTTTAACCATAGTTTAACCAACTTTTGGGCGATTCTCATAGGCTTTGCTGAGCGTGGAGGTTACCTGGGATACAGCCAATGATTTGGTACTTGTTCGTTTGAGTTCCTTTAGTTTCCATATATGCTTTATACAGGACATACTTCCCTTTTACAGATGAAAAAGTATTTTCTATCTATTTTATGTACAGCATACTGCAATACAATAATGCCTCAGATAATTGATAATAATGTGGATAACATTTGCATTACAGTTATAATGAAAGTAGTAATAATATGTATGAAAAGTTCTTTAAAAAAAGATTGATAACAGTACCTGTCAGCCATTTTTATCACACAATCATTATTTCCCCAACAACTCCCCTGACAATGACGAGTTGGGCTGTTACTCACTGAAGAATAGTAAAATAAAAAACAAATAAAGGGGGAAAATGCTCTGTTAGGACTTTTCTCTCTGTTCCCCTCTCATTCATGCACTCACTTTGCTTTCTCTCTGGGTTTGTTCACGCGTTCCTCTGTTGGTAGAAAAATACATACATATGATATATTAAAAAAAAAAGTACAATGATGACAAACATAGGCATGAAGTACAAGCTTCATCAAGTGCTTTCTTTATGACCCCTCCCACCCCACCAACCCCCTTTTTTTATCGCTCACGTTTTCCATCGTCTCGCTCTGCAGCAGATTCCTCACATTTAGTGCATTCTCGAACCGCTCCGTCTCTTTTGTTCGATGCTTTGGGCTCAGACCGAGAAATGGTTCCTCGACTCCTCGCTGTCCGAGGGGAGCTGGGTGTAAATAAGGACATCACGATTTGTGAAATGCACTTTGAGATTCAGCCCCAGGCTTTACCCTAATCCCATAATACGCCACATCGTTTTCTTTCAGAAACTCCTCTTGTTTGTGGTTTTCTCAGGCTCCAGTCCAGTCTTTCTGATCCAACCTCTGTTGTCCACAGCACATTGGGCAGTGTCATACAAAAGCTTTTCAGACCTAGTCCTTCCTCATTTTCCAGACCAGTGCCGCTGCCATCCAATCTCAGTTGCTGTTATGAATCTCTATAGTCTTCATCACTCACTCCTTTCCTCATTTCTCTTCCATGTTTTGGCTTGAACTAAATAATGGAGAATGTTCAGATTAATGTGATCTGAATGTGTGGAAAAAATACATCATTCTCTAGACCATAAATGAGCAGAGAATAGTGTAATTTATAGATATTTTACATCTTCATCCTCCTTGATGCCCACTGCAAACAACGCAATACAAAAGAAGAGAAGGGACACCAGGGAGCCTCTTTAACCAAGATTCTCAGAGGACTGCTGGTTTAGGATCAGTGTATTAAGTGTGTTTTACAAAGCAGATACGTTGATAACTGTTACATCTACTCATAGCTGATTAAATCAGAATTTAGATTTCAGTCATAATAATATAAAAGCCAAAACTAATCTCACATTAGGTTTTGGTCAAGTCTTCACAAACTGGACGAATGTGGTTCCAGGCTGAAGAATAAAATACTTATGTCAGTGTCCTAGACCAGCATTTCTACTGAAAGATACTTTGCACAAGTGGGCTCAGGAATCGAGAAGCACATTGTAAAATATCTGTGTTCTAACAACTAATTTAAAGTTGTACTCAGAATTAAAGCTTCTCATAATGACAAGAAAGCTGGCATCAGGTTGATTATATCATTCAAAGCCTCTAATGTCTCATTATATTTTCCAATTCAGAAAAGTATCAATAAACCAGATGATCTGACGAATGGGGGAGTAAACTTTTACACCCGATTTGTCATTTTTTCTTGCTTAAGAAGACAATAACACTGAATACAGTTAAATTACTTGTTCATATGGAGCTTTTTACACTGCAGACACAATTAGTAATTCCTCTAGCAGAGTGGGAAGACGCAGCCTCGCAGCCTATGAGTTCATGTGCTCCACCTGTATGGCTGATGTGGAGACGGTGAGGCAGAGGTCTTTGTGGGTCACTGGCAGGTCCGCCACAGTGACTGGTTTGTACTGGATTTCGCTGGCTGACACTGTCTTGTACTGGTGGAGGTCAAAAGGGCATTGAACCACAGCTTCCGTGGGCTGCTGGTGTGACTGGTAGCTGCCTGGGGGTCCGGGGTTAGGGTTCTGGGAGTTGTTGTTTGGGTTGTTCTGGCTTTGGAGCTGGCCTGCTCTGCCCCCACCTCCTCTCCCTCGGCCACGGCCTCTTCCTCTGCCCCCTCCCCCTGGCGTAAGGCCCTGGGCCTGCTGAGCAGCTACAGTTGCTGCCACAGTTAGCGGGTCGGGGTTGTGCTTCCTCATGTGTTTCATTAGATACGTCTCCTGGAGTTGGGGAGAGAGAGACATGATGACAGGAATGAAAAAATAGAAGGAAGGAATCTCTTTAATTCAAGGTATATTCAGTAAAGTTGTTTTTTGTGAGACCAGAGTCGTGTAAAAGGTGTGTGTGGTATTTGACTGATGAGTCTGAGAGCCTACCGAGGTATAGGATCGGTTACAGAGGCCACAGGAGAAAAGCTTGGCATGTTTGACAGTGTGCGTGGACAGGTGCACCTCCAGGCTGGCAGCATCTGTGTAACCACGGTTACAGTTGTGGCACTTGTACGGCTTGTCTTTGTTGTGCTGCCGACGGTGAGACTGTGGGGAGAGGAAGAGGGACACAGAGGAAGGACGGGATAAACAGCCATTAGCACAATCAATAAGTGGATGTTTTCAGAAGGCAAAGTGAATCTGATGATGAGAGTGCCACAAAAATGTCTCAGCAATTAAATTTTATATTATTTCACAAACAGTGGAAAAAAATTCAATTGATGGGCCAATAAGAGCATTTAACTTGATTCTCTCCAATAGGACTGATTTCTGTTTTAGCTTTCATGTGACCCTAATGTAAAGTGCACACTCATGTTTTGGTCAAGAAAGAGAAAATCTTGCAATAGAAAATGTCATCAGTTGAGCAGCAAGGATCAAACCTGTGAATTCCTTTACCTGTAGGTTGGACAACTGAGTGAAAGATTTTTCACAGCCAGGATGGTTACACTTGTACGGTCGGTCGCCGGTGTGAATCCTGAAAAATCAGTTAGTCACATCATTAGTTAATTACACTATAATTATAATTTCTTACTGCACTTGCATCAAGAAAATTAAAATGAGAGTGATGTGCATTATTACAAGTATTCATTGTGTTATCTCTTATCCAAAGCAACATATTGTACATACAGCAGTGTTATTCCGGTTCAAATGAAGTGCACTCATCCCCCCTCAGGGGTCTATCATTTACCATCATTCACAAATCAAAGTAAACATATTAAAGATATTTTAATGGCATTAAGATCCTAGCTTAGTAGTTTTCTCAATTTTATTTTCTTCTACTTTTAAGGCAGTTCCTATGTGGTTTTATTAACTCGTATGTCCAGTGATTCAAGTTGTGAAAAATGCTGAGGTGGTTTGTACCTCTTCAAAGGCTTTAGATACATTTTACCCTGCTTTCAGACCATTATGTGACGAGGCAAATTTGGCATCAATAAACAGTCAGAAATATTAAGCCATCCAAGGCAGGAATTCACCATAAGCAAGGTTTGGCTGTTAGATAGGTGAAGTCAAATAAATGTTAATGCCACTCTGTGGAAGACCTGAACATTTCTTACTTTGGCAATTCTGATTTAAATGATAAAAATCACATCACAATGCCATAATTCTCCACACACCTGCTCCCATACATGCACACATAAAAACCCATCCGGCCATTCAAACCCACACAGCCCAGCCCAGACCAGTACCGTGTGTGCTGCTGTAGGTGACTGAGCTGCCTGAATGTTTTCTGGCAGTAGGAGCAGGAGTAGGGCTTGGCCCCGGTGTGGATGCGGATGTGCTGGGACAGGTAGCTGGAGTTGGCAAACGACTTGGAGCAGTGGGGACACTTGTGGGGCTTGGCCTCAGTGTGGTTTCTAACACGGGAAACCGGGATTGGAGGGGTGAGGAGGTGGAGAGAGAGAAACAGAGAGAGAAACAGCGAGAGATTTTTAAGCTACAGCATGACCAAACTTCACGATGAACTAAAGACCAAATCATGCGGTAAAGTTAACAGGATCTGCGATCAATTACGCTGATCATAGATCATTAAGTCTGACAGTGTGCTCTTTGTGCTGTGTCTGAGTTGTGAAAACACAGAACAAAAACATACAGCAAGCACAGTCACGCTTTTCTCTTTCTCTCTCTCTCTCTCTCTTGCAGTCTCTCCATTTGGTGTGCCCTGCTTTCAGTGGAGTGTGTTTATGAATGTCTGACTCTGCTGCAGTCAAATTGAAATGTAAATTCAAAATGAGTGGCAGGCCCGTGGAGTGCATCTTCCTGTTTAAAGTTAATGGCTTGAAACTCACAAAGAAAACCCCAGTGCATGGCGATAAGACGAATGGAAACATGAAGAAGGTGAAAGACAAGGTCGTTCATGACAACGTGAATGGGAGACAGGTGCTTTCATCACTTACATGGTCACACATAGTTACATGTAATCCAAGGAAAACCATTCTCAGTGTCGGATTAGTGGCTTTATCTGTTCTGGAAACATGATCATGGGGGTGTGTGAAACATGCAGGCTGACTCAGTGCAGTCAAAGAATAGAAAAAACAATAAGAAGTGTGTATTGTTTTAAAGGGGTAAATTATGATACAGTTAGCATGCAAAGTGTCTCACAGGTGTGTGATTAAACTGACAGACTGGCTATCCAGCTGACAACATTTTTACCGCCTACTTTTCAGTTTTGTGAACATAAAAGTGCCATTATCTCTCCAATGTGACCTTAACCAGAATTCTATTTTCAATGCCTTATTTTTAATGTCCAATGACATTAAATTCAAATGAAAAGCGTTTGGACATCACAAGGTGCTTCAGCCCAAAGAGGGGATGTTAGAAAGAGTGGAGTGAAAGCCGAGGTGGATCCAAAGAAACCAGAAAAATAATAAGATAACCCAACATGCATGCAGTACCAAGCCAAGCATGTGATAGTGCCACCAGAAGGATGAAAAACAGACACCAACCACCTACTAACTGAAGGTATATTATGGTGGTAACTGGTACTGTAAGTTGACCTCTACCAAACACTGTAGCATGCATCAACCCTTATGTATTAAATTTAATTATAAATAATATTCTTAATTGATAAATACTAAAAAATAAGAAGCTCAAAACAATAATTGAACTTAACATTGGTATTAGTGTTGTATCTTCAAAGGTGATGCTCAAACTGTGCATAAAGAGCTTTACACTGTCAACACTTTTCCCATCACATCTCCATCTCCCCGCCCCGTCCTCCCTCCATCAGTCACCCCGTGCTTTGATAACAGAATCCACATGAACAAGCAGGTGCACACACACACACACACACACACACACACACACACACACACACAGGACCGCACACCCGACTCAGGGACAACCCCCGGACTCCAGACCAGTAACCGTGTGTGCGGCTGTAGGTGACTGGAGCTGCCTGAATGTTTTCTGGCAGTAGGTGCAGGTGTAGGGCTTTGGCCGCTGTGGATTGCGATGTGCTGGGACAGGTAGCGGAGTTGCAACGACTCGAACAGTGGGGGGCACGTTGTGGGCTTGGCCTCAGTGTGGGATTGGCATGGATCTGCATGTCTGACTTGCTGAAGACGTCACTTGCACACATCCGACACCTTGACAAATGAGAGAGAGAAGCAAACTTTAAATGGCACACCAAAGCGGTCAAAGAGATTTAATGTAGGCTTGCAAAGTTTAAATGTTTGAATTAAAATCTATGAATGCCAAAAACAACAATGCTTTTCTTCTGATCTCAATATTCTTTCTAGCTACTGTAATGATTTGGGACCATCTATTTGTTGGTATGATCATCCTCATCGTTTGACAGGTCATATGGGTCAAGCAGTGGTGGTGCTGTATACACAATAAGCAACTAATATTTTCGGTTTATGAAAACACCAAACCCGGCCATTCCTGCCTGTTGTGAAAATCACTAACAGCTACTTAAGCTACAGAAAGAGGAAGAGCCTCACCTTCCACCAGCCAAGGTGCGCCAATATTAATGCATCGCTTCCTGGAGGGAGGACCCACCCACTCCAGCCAACTTATCCCACATCTGTTTGCTTCTTCCTGCTCCGCTTCGATGGTGTTCGGCATGACAACTGCAGGAGGGACACCAATGCCCTTCTTGAGTCTGGAAACAAAAGAAACGATCAGAGAAGAGAAAGGAAAGAGGAAGAAGGAGGAACACTTTAAACCATTATCTAACTGAACGTGGCAGTTGTGTGCAGACGTGCTGAAGATGGAGTGGAGAGGCCCGTGGTTTACCTGGTATGTTGAGGGGGTGCAGTGCAAGACACGATCATGGTGGTGGCAGTGTTGAATGTCCAGCTACAAAACAGAATGTGGTGGAGGCGTGGGGACCAGTGTGTCCTTGAGGGGTGTGATCACTAATCCCGCTAAGAGAAAAAGAAAAACTGTGATCTGGCTGTGCATGTGGACAAAACAAACATTTTACATGAATTCTCTTCGGTGGGGGGGGGAAGGACAAAGCAAGCCCATCACCTGCCAGTCATGATACCCGTAGAGGGAACAGGCACAACGGTGATTTTCTGCGAGGTGGGTGTGCGACTGGTGCAGGTGTCCCCCGACCACACTTAAAGATCCGCCGCCACTGTTGCCTCCCTCCTGCTTGGGGACCACCCGCACCCCGGCCCCTGTGTCCACGGAGCCGGGGATGGCGAGCACAGCCGTGGGATAGTGGGGGGAGGAGGTGGAAGATGCAGAGGAGTGAGGGAAGGAGGCCGCATTGGCCTTCTCTTGACCTAGCTGCTCCTTTGCCTTGTTCAGGAACATGGCGTTCTCGATCTAGAAGGAGGATGAGGAGAGGGGCGGGTTGATGGTGCGAGGAAGGAAAGGAGGAAGGGTGAGGTATTAAAGAGGAGAAGAGGACAGGATGGGTGAAGGTGAAACGTTGGGAGATTGCACGAGGATGGGGTGATGAAGCAATGTAGAATCAGAGGAAGAGAGGAGAAGACAGAGGAGGAAAAGAAGGCGATGGGAGAGAACAGAGAACGAAGGCAAGGTGAGATGCAAAAACGAAAAAAGGAACAGAGAGAGGTTGAAGAGACGAGAGGGACAGGAGTGATCATGTGAACCCTCACGAATGTCAAACACTGAATGTCAGGTTAAAGCAACTTCACAGACTGAGCGAACATTATTCGCTAACATGTTCAGGGTCAAATCATTGTCTGCTATTATGTAATGTTTAAAGTATTAACAGTCACAGTGATTATCGCTTCCGGGTATCTTTTGACATAGCACATACCACTTCACCATGTATATTTCAACAATAAGGTTGTCTCTACCTGTCCTTGTACAGTGGGGACGGGAGACCAAAAGTATGATGAGTTGAAATGGGAATCGTCCATTATTTCTGTAATTAAAAAGCAACACACTTAGAAAACACCCGTCCTCCTCCTCCTCCTCCTCCTTCTTACTATGCTCTTATGTTGTTGTTTTTTTTACTTTCATGTGAAACCATGCATGGCTGTGTTTCAATCATCTTAGTTTGTTTCCTTTCCTTGTATCCTCTCCTCCTCATCAGCTGGCACAATGAACATGTTTCATGTTTCGTTGTGGCTGGTTAATGTGTCTACTAAACCAGCCACTTTGAAACCATTATTTTAAGGGATCGCATTACAAAAGTGTAAGATGGATGTTATAAACCTGACTGGTTGAAGCCTAATGCTTTTAGATTTGTGCTGTTAGATGTACAGAGAAGAGGATGTGAAAGGAATCAGATAAAGATGTTCAATCCCGGGAGGGACAGACATAAAATAAAAATCTACAGGAGGACAGAAGAGGCAAGAGTCTAGAAAACACGAACAGCAATCAGTCTTTGAGGCGTTTGATAATGTTTTCTAACACAGCTCATGCACTTCCTCACTAGTCCCTCACACATTACGGCTGCTGCCAACACATTTCACAATCTTAAGAGTGGTTGCTTTATCAGCAACATGTTAACAAACAATGCTGTGTCAAAACTATTTATTGCCCGGAAAACTAACACGAGACGTGTTCTCCAGAGTAGATGCAATGTGTTGAAAATAACATCCTTACTAGCGTGCATATGGTTTGCTGAAGACAACATTCACGGGTTAAAAGACTAGCGTCTATCTTTTCATTATCAAACCTCTGATCTTCTGTTTCCTGATCATCTCCCACTGACACATAGGCAACATGTTTTCTGTAGCACAAAGAAGGAAGTTTCATTGTTTCATTGTTCTATGTCTGCATGCATTTGCACTTTATTTTCCACATATGTTGCTACCGTGATAGACAAACAGTACAGGAGGTTTTTGAGGCTCGGTGTTCTGTATGCATGAGAAGATGCCATGCATAAGCTATACTGCACACCTACCGAGAGAGAGCATGCATGTAATTACACGTTAGTAAAGCTGGGCTGACATTTAACATGACTGACAACTGGTAAAGCCATTAAGAGGAGGAGAGGTCCATGAAAATAAACTTCAACGTTACACAGTAAGAAAACAAACTGAGGTAACGATATAATCCATGCAAACACTGGCAACGCACAAGTCCAGGTATGTTTAACGTTGTCTCCTCTCTGTAGTTCACAACCTACAAACGGATGAAAGGGCAAGTTTCTGAGGCATTATACTGAATAACACAGACTGCCGCTAACTCAGGGGTCGTTATTAGTGTAATGCAAAGTTAACATTTCAGTGCTGAGACGTTTTTTGACGAGGGGGGGGGGAAACACAACCTGCCTCCCCAAACACGGTGCAGCAGCTAGCTGCGGTTAGCGGTGATTGATGAAATCTAAACACGAACTTATCATAAAACCATTTAAACCAGGGGAGCTTCCTACAAAAGCCCTCAGCCCTGGTGGTTGTTAACGTTACACGGCACCTAACCAGCTCTTAATCAGACGTCTGTGTGTGTTTCTTTTGGGGGGGGAGAGTGTAAACAAACATGGCTAGCTGATAGCTGGTTAACGCAACAAGACAAGGGGGAGCTCCCGACTCGCCTCCATTAATTGTGTCCTTTTGTTCGCTGGCTTTGCTCTAGCTCAGAAAGAAGGCCCTGTGTGTTCATGTGCTTCACTAGCTCGGTCTCTTGGTAAACACAAACACCCCCCCCCACGCTTCCCTACGCCTCCATTCCTCACTCCCTGCTCATCTCGCTGAGAGAAAATAAAAAAAAAACGAGAAAAAAAAAAAGTCTCGAATAAAAAAAAAAAAAAAAAAAAAAAAAAAACCAAACAGGGGGGTAAAAAAAAAAAGCGACGCCGTTGCTTCTGTTAGGAGACGCAGCTTCATGCAGACTTCCGGCGGTTGGGACGACAGTGCTCTCAGACACACTGGAAATAACAGATCATTAACAACCGATTAATAACTCCTGGGTTAATTACCGGTGATATCGATTCCCCGTCAACCCCCCCGGAGCTTCCTCGGGTCGGGACAGTTGGGAAACTTTGTCCAATCCGCCCCTCAAAACCTTCAGATGTGCCTTTTTTTTCTTCGGGTTTTTATTTTTTCCTTTTTTTCCCTCCAGCTCTCGGCAGAGTCAAGGCGGTCGGAGAGTTTAACGGTTGCGCTTTCCGGTTGCGCATTTCAACATAAAAGCCTGTGTTGATTATATTAGACTTGGTTTTTAATCAGAAAAGTGTGCTGAAGAAGCTTTTTCGTTCAAAGATGACAAAAAAATTTGTTAGTGACCATTGAACAGTTTATATAGTCATTATAATGAGGAACTTTCTTAAAATGTTGATTTAGCATTTCAAAAATATGGAATAGTATCTAAAAATAATGGAGAAACTTTTCTCAAAAAAATAATGACTTAGGAACCTCAAAATATGAAACTTCACAAATACTTTGTAGTATTTCAAAATCATGACTTAGTTAATGAAAGTTTCTCAAAATAAATGAGAACTTTCTAAAAAATAATGACTTAGAACCTCAAAATAATGAAAACTTTTCCCAATATTTGTAGTATTTTCAAAATAATGATGTAGTAATATAAAACATAATAAGAAAGTTTCTCCCAAAATAAATGAGAATTTCTAAAAATAATGACTTAGAACCTCAAAATAATGAAAACTTTCACTAATACTGTGTAGTATTTCAAAAATAATGACTTAGTATCTAAAACATAATAAAGAAGTAGTTTCTCAAAATAATGAGAAACTTTCTATAAAAATAATTGACTTAGAACCTCAAAATAATGAAAAATTTTCACAATACTGTGTAGTATTTCAAATATATGAATGTAGTATCTTATAAAACTATTAATAAGGAAAGTTTACTCAAAATAATGGCGAAAGTTCTCAATATTTTGTAGTAATACTCAAAATAATGACTTAGTTACGACGGAGTATTAGGGCCGACTAAAAGAAAACATTTTTAGTTGGGGGAAATTACGAGATGAAAGTCGTAATAATAACAAGAATAATGTAATAAGAATACAAGAAAAAAAGGAAAAAAATAGCTTTGATAGAGTTATCAGATCTGACCGTGAGCAGCTCAACCAATCAGAGCCTCAGTATGAGCCCAGCAGCCGCTGTTTGTCTCAGTCGTAACCGTAAATGTCAACAGGTAAGATAAGGTATTCATTCATTTCATGTGTTAAAACAGTTTTTGCTGGCTGAGCCAACAGGCTGACAGTTCTCATAAAAATTAAAACTTTATTGTCGTAATGTTACACTTTTATTCCTCGTAATATTTTGACTTTATTCTCGTAATGTTTACGACTTTATTCTCGTAATGTTACCGACTTTATTCTTGCAATATTATGATTTTATTCTTCGTAATATTGCGACTAATTAAATTCTGTAATGTTACGACTTTCCTTCTCATAGTGTTTATGACTTTATTCTCGCAATATTACACTTTATTCTCAAAAAGTTACGACTTTTAATTCCATTGCAATATTACGACTTTATCTCCGCAATGTTATGACTTTATTCTTGCAATGTTACGACTTTATTCTTGCAATATTATGACTTTATTCTCGCAAAATACTCTCTACGACTTTATTCTTCAAAAAGTTACGACTTTATTCTCGCAATATTACGATTTTATCCTCGCATGTTACGACTTTTATTCTCGCATGTTACGACTTTATTCTCGTATTGTTCGACTTATTCTCGCAATATTATGACTTTATTCAAATCATAATATTACTGGACTTACTTCTCGTAATGTTACGAACTTTATTCTCCAATATATTGATTTATTCTCATATGTTACGACTTTATTCTCGTAATGTTACGACTTTATTTATTATTATTTAAGTAACCCGTCTTAAGAATGCATTCACTACTAGGATTGGGAAGGTTACAATAAAAATATAATCTGATACAATCATTAATTACCTGTTTAAAATATAGTCAGTAACCTAATACATCTATCACAATATTAAAATAACGTAACTTGATTACTTTCTGTTACTTTCAGATTACTTCAACACTAAATATGCAAATAAAGACAAAAGAGAAGAAATATGGATAAGAATTAGAGATGTAAGTGTATTATATAAGACAACAGAACACTAACCTTAGAAATGAAGATGGAAACAAAATGGAAAATGTGCCTTCTGCTCTGTTTTTTAAATCTCAATTTTTACTAAATTTAATTGTAATCAGATTTTTTCTGTAACTATAGTGGATTACATTTACCTTTTTTTGAATCCTGATTTTGTAACTAAATTACATGTATTCTGTTACTCCCCAAGCCTTTTCACTACACAAACGGAAATTGTAATAAAATATTACCTTTATCAATTTTCTTTAGCCTGAGAACATTTATTAAAATAATATATTGAGTGTCTATTTGACTGTAGTTTGAATTTTGTGTTGTTTGTATATTAATGCCGGTTTTTCTCAGGTAGTTCAGATCTTAATTTTGAAGGGAAATCCTCTTACTTCCTGTAGTAGTTTGGCTTTCTGTAGCTAACTTGACAGAGCTGCCAACGTCCATTCAGTGCCTTCCGGTGTATTAATTACCCGTCAGTGTTCGGGGTTGACTACATTATTATGATTATCAGTGTCTTTGTACAGTTTGGTCTTAAATTCTTCATGTTCTTCAGCATTACACAGTTCTCAAATGAATGGCCACAGTTAAAAGTCACCATTGCTGCAGTGTTCTTGCATCCACAATAGCTTATTCAAGCACTATTATTTTCCATTTGTATTTAATTTATATCCACATAGACTATCTGACACAATAATGGACCCAGTTCTTTTGTCAGCAAACATTTAGCTTTAGCTTCTTGTAAAGAACCAGGGTTGTGTTCAGACTGTCACTAGTTTGAATCCCTGGATAAATAAATAAATAAAGAAAGATGCAACAACAGCTTTGGTAAGGCACTGTAGCTGCAATAGAGCTGCTCAGTGCAGACAGTAAAACACTGCGGCTCTCAGGGATGTGCAAACGTGAATCAGACAAATATTCTTTGGCGGATCAATAAAAGCGAAATCTTAAAAATTTTTAGAAATTTTTTTTATTTGGACCTCGCCGTGCATGTGAGAGCTGTACTTCATGGTGTCCCCGTAAAAACATGATGCAGATACAATTCAAAACACAACTCGCCCACTGAATAAAATAACAATGTGAACAAAATTACAAAACCAAGCATGCACAACTCAGAAATAGAGCAAAGTAAGACTAACAAGTATTAAGCAGCAGTAGAATATAAGAGTACAGGACGTAAGTGGTTTCCTTTTTGCAATTTAATGACAAGTCTATTGTGTACATGATTGTAGAATAACATTTTCCTGCGCAGGTGCACAGACTGTAATTTAAAAGCTTCCATTTTGTCAGAACTTCACCAGCAAACAACAGGAATCGAAATAACACAGAAAACTCTACTAAACTGACTACAGCTTAAATACATATACTGTATATAATGAAACACTGACTGGGGCCGCTGTTAGTGAGAGTGAAAGTTGGTAATGGTGACTTGTGAAGCAGATCTTGCTATTGTATCAAATATCAAAATATACTGTATAAATACATTTGTATTCATATGTAGTGCCACTTTAGAGTATTTTTACACTTAAAACAGTCAATTACAGAGGAACAAATATCCCGTTTCCCTTTCTATAGCTAACCAATAGGTAATCTCTTCCTACTTTGGTAATTCCATATTGTCCTGACTGAACATATACTTTGCGAGATTAAAATTACAGGTATCAATGCATGCATAATAACAGTAGTACTCATCTTAAAATACATACAATTACCTTCAGAAAGCCATTTCAATACATTTGGCTGTACCGTGATCAGCAGTGCAGAGAACAAAGTCACAGACAGACAAACAGTGAGCTGTTTAAGCATCATTGAGGAGAAAAAAAAGACTATTCTTGGTTAAATGTAGTGCTTGTAGTAGTGTAGTGATTACACAATTCCTAAGTATCTTTTGATGCTTTAAAATGTATGCAGATACAATGGTGACATAAAACGTGTTTTGAATACGCAGCCCGGGGGTTATGGTGAGGTAGAGGGTGACAGGGTGATAGGGTTAGGGTATAAGGCAAGTTGGAATACTTTTTAGGAACCAACACTTCAGAGTGAGCTCCTAAACCTTCACTAGCATATCGTTCTGGGTGACAGATGCATTGACTCAAAGATGAGAAACTGCTAACATACAATGCACGAGGTTTCCTTACGTATTACATTTAAAAAAATCTAATCTTAAATATTCCTTTCCCTGAAGTACAAGCTGATCACTTGACAATTACAATTCTAACCAAAGTAACTTTAGCATCTCGTCCATTTCTCTTCTCATTAGGCTTTCATTTAAAGAACAACGATAATGATAACATAGTTCAGTATTTCAGTACAGTTATCTCATAATTACACTGTGGTTTCCCCATTGCTACGATAGAAGGCTAAAGCTATATCTTACATTTACCTTTAGTTCCACAAGCTACACCTTTATGAAAGCTGCTACATAACTGGCCATAATCATAAATGGCACCACTTTACTTAAGGTATACATCTAGTACAATGTATGGATTATCAGGCTGCAGAATCAATGGAACCTGAACCAGAAGATCCAGGTCCAAGCTCCTGTTTCGGTCTAGATCTGTTTTGTTTAAGTGCTCTTAGGAAGAGACTGAATCCCTATCAGTTCTGCAGCTGACCCTGACCTGTGACCCCACTGTTAATGATGGTATATGTGAATGAATCAATATGAATGCACGTCTAGCAGGCTAACATACAGTCCTATACTGACTTCCTGATTTCTTTTTAATTGCCACAAGCCTGTCACCATGGTTGAAGGCTAACAGTGTGTTTAAGTATATTTTGGTGATCATCTGGATATTATTGTAAATTGCAATTATTTTGGTCAGGAAAATGCCTATCTACGATGGTCATTACAGCATTGGTTTATTAAAAAAATCTGACTGTTTCAATCTATTACAAATTTCTCTTTTGCTCGACCATGAACTTTCCTGGTAACATCATAATTAACATTGTCGTTACAGTAAGGTTAACAGTAAATTTTAAGCAACCAATAGAAAGGGCTGTGAGGTTTAAAGTGACGATCGCAGTGCTGTGATGATCGATATAAAACTACAAAAACAAACATGTTTAATACAGAAGTGCTTAGTATAGAACCTGCAGTCAACTAAAGGTTAATGAACATGCTAATATTTCTGCATGAAGTCACAGAGTAAAGTGTTGTATAGGTTTCTAATGTTTGGTACTATATAGTGTTGTATGCCTTAAGCAAAGGGTCCTTAAAAAATATTGTAAGTAAGTAGTAATAAGACTAGAAGACATCAGTAGACATTGTGGATGGAGAATACATAAAGAAAGCAATTACAGATTAAAAAAATAGAATACATAGCAATGACATACATATGGTATCACAATTTGAATTACCTGTTAGTTTGCATTTATCCATCTGGTATGGCTAAAACTACAGGCTGTGGTTTTGGTCTATTATTTGGATTATGTAATGTTAGTAGCATTAGTAAATGATTATGGTTATGAACGTTATGTTTGTATTAAACTTTCATGTTAAGATGCACTTAAGGTTTGGCAGCAAGGTAGTGCACAGGCAGTGATGAAGGAGACATTAAAGGTCAACACAGACAGTGGGGACAAAGACAAAAGGAGACAAATAAAGACGTTCTCAGTGTGACACAAACACAGAAAATGTTCTGTAGAGAGAAGAACGTAGGAAAGGACAAGACTTACACAGAGGCTACGGTTACTTTGGTTGCTTTTTCAATGCATTTTAAAATCTGGACAAGCCAATGTAAATCAAGTCACAGGCCAGAATATTGAAAATAAAATATGTTTTCTGTTCATGCTTAATGTACCGTAGTACCTGTGAACATATGAACTTAATAAAAACCAATTACTTGAAATAACAACTGTAACTGTAGCGCAATACTTTTAGCTAAGACAGAGCTGGGTATCAGTGACCACAAAAACAGACAAACACAGAGACATCAGAGCAAGATGTCGACAGAGCTACATGGGGGAAACAGTTATACAGATGATGTGACACAGGAATGGGAGAAGAGGAAAGAGGCTGTAAGCAGACTCATGCAGTCAGCTGATTAGACACTGGGAGAATGGATCTGCCTGGTCACCAGCCTGGTTGATTCTCTTCAGCCTGTACGAGAGGTCACCTGAGGGAGAGACAGAGAGAGAGAGAGAGAGAGAGAGAGAGAGCGAGAGAGAGGTCTTTTTTTAAATATTAATATAGTAGTATTAAGAGCATTTAAGCCAATTCAGTTCAGTCCCACTGCTTTGATCAACCATGTGCGACCTGCCTGTTATCAACTATCTGACAGAAAAGCCGTTCAATCTATGGCCAGGGACCCAGATCCAATGAAAGGCAGTTAACAGAGTATTCATATAAACTTCATAAGGTGATAAAAATATCGAGGCTGTATGTGCATCAGCGTGCTTTTGACTTCTTCTGCTTCCTGTCTGCGAAAACATCAATAATTGTATCTCTGATATACATTCTTGCATCCTCAATGATGCAATTGACATGACATGTGTCAGCAAGTCCAGTGAAATACATTAAAAATAGATGTGCATGCATGAATGTGTTACCTGGGAGATGGTGACTCCGGTCAGCCTCTCCACCGCCTCCGGAAGGCGGGTCATGATTTCCAGCACCTCTCCTGACAGTTTGGCTGCGCCCACCTCCCCGGCTCCACTGGACACCATGGTAACCTTGTTGGCTTCACACAGGGGTTTGCTGATCTCTTCTGCCATCTGGTGGAAGACAGATATTACCAAATGTTAAAACCGTAATCAAACCTTCACAAACTCAAAGAGTTTTTAAAATATATGACATGCATGATTCAAAATGCATGTTAATTTTAAAAAATAATCATTTGACTATATGGTTTTAATGTTTTGATATGGGCATATGATATTTACATATGACACTATATAATTGGTCCACCATGACTCTATTTCAATAGTTGCCATATCTGGGTAAAATGTAAAAGTAAAATAGCAGCACTTAACATTCCTTAAGTCCCAAGTTTTTGAAAGGTTATGATTTGACTATGTATCCAAACAGAAAACACTTGTGCATTAGATCTAATAATTAGCTGTAATTAGGGCAGTAAGTGGAACCCAGGGATCTGTAACAAAAGCACAAACTACCCACATACAGCAGAGATGCATAAAATACCACTGGCTGTATGTAAAATATACATGGACTGTACAGTAGGTTGACTCTCACCAGAGGCAGTTTCTCCAGCAACATGTCCACCATGGCTCCATCCTTGTACTGTTGGAAGGCCTCTGCCTTCTTCGACATCTGCTCTGCCTCAGCGCGACCCTTGGCCTCCACTGCAAATGCCTCAGCCTCACCTTTAATCTGAAGCAGACAATAGGACGACTTACTTTGCCATAAAACAAGGCCAATTCCCACCTGAGAAGCTTGTGGTCATAACATGATTTCCTAACTTTAAAATAAATAAAGACAGCTGAGTTGTGACTCACCCTGATGGACTCAGCTTCGGCCTCTGCCTCCATGATCAACTTAAGACTGGATAGAGAGAGAGAGTCAGGCAGAGAGCAGACAATGAACCATACAATACAACTCCACCATGAACAATACTGAAACATGAGGAAGGACATGTGTCTGATCATTATTTTCACTTAATCCTCATTTTAATTTCCTCAAAAACGGCAGCAAAGCCTTGCAACTCACCGCTCAGCCTCAGCCAGCTTCTCCAGACGGTACCTCTCAGCATCCGCAGGTTTCTTCACCTTGGCCTCCAGCTCTTTCTCCCTGCGGGTGATCTCCTGCTCCTGTATCATGATCTGCTGCGTCCGCTCGACCACCTGGACCTGCATCTTCTCCTCCTCAATACGCTGCTTCGTCTTCGCCACCTGGGAAAGGAAGATACAGTACATATAAGATTTTGTCATTCAATATTATCCAGTCATTAAATGAGTACATCCTTCTGATCATCTGTGTGCAGTTGTGTCTGGATTTCTCATCATCTCAGCCAATCGGAACTGTTTCTACAGAGGATGTTCAGAAACCAGGGTAAGGTGTTAACATGTTTCCACGGTATCCAGGCGGGGCAGCTGTGGTTCAGTCTAGTTCTAGTTGAAGTGACCTTGGACAGCTGAATACTGAAGCTTAAATTGCTCCCAGCTTAGTATCATTTTGAGTGCTTTGGATAGGAAGCACTGTATCACTCCTCTTGAGCAGGTTGGCACCTTGCATAGCAGCCTCTGCCATCAGTGTATGAGTGTGTGTGTGAATGGATAAATGTGACAACCACTTTGAGTGGTCAGTAGACCAGAAAGGCGCTGTGTAAATAGTGTAAAAGTCTATTTACCAGTTATTTGTATCCCTGTATACATTGTTTCTGATTGGCTGTGTGCAGTTGTGTCTTGGTTGACTATCTTCTGTACCAACAAAGACTGTTCAGAGACCAGGAGCCCACTCATAATGCACTCAAGGTTATTGACTGCTTGCACTTGTTATTCACTTATAACTACATAAAGGTGACCAAATATAGTCAAAACCTCCAGACAATGACCAATGGTGTGCAAGGCACTTATGCACAAACCATTCTCTATAAACATTAAGCTCACTGGTGAAATAATAACATTACCCATTATCTCTTATTCACCCTTGTGTACCTGCAGCTGGTAGGCCATCTCTGATTCAGCCTTCTTAGTGTTGACCTCGATGTCGTAGGCTGCCTTCTTCAACTCATAGTCCCGCTGGGCCTTTGCCATGTCGATCTCATTCTTGTACTGAGCTGACACTTTCTCCTGCATTGCATGGGCCTCCTGCAGAGGGAGAGACAGAGAGAGAGAGGGAGAGAACAGAGAAATGAGGGTGGACTAGGGATCAGTGGGAATAACTCTTGAAAATAGAATAAACAGGATGAAGATGCTAAAAATACACAGAAGAGTTTATACAAATATCATAAAAAAGACTAAGGAAAAGATAAGTGATGGATTACTCTAAAAACAAGATGATAATGAAGGCGGCCTCTATCACAATATTACTCTTTGTACTTCTCAAAATAAAGAACACAATTCCAATAAACCCTGTTGCTGCGTGGTGCAAAGAGGGTGTTTATGTTGAAATAAAACACTTCACAGGAATAACAGTATCCACGAGGATGGAGACAACGTGATTTATCTCACCCTGATCACAGCATCTCTCTTGTTCTTGGCCTCTCCGATGCGAGCGTCTTTCTGAACTTGGGCTGTTCGAGCCTTCCCCAGTGAATGCAGATAATCCTGTGTACCAGAAAGAGATAAAAAAGTTAGATGTTCTGGAATATTCTTCGTTAAATATGACTGATTTAATCCAAGACACAGAAAATTTCTTTAATTTTTGTGCTGTCATGATGTTACTATGGCAGCTCTTTCTGTTGTCAACAGAAAAATTTAAAAAAGAAAATACAGAACTGAGAAACATGAACGTCAATGACCTGTGTGCTTATTTTGTGTGCAGTTTTTAGGTTGTTCTTTTCTTGAACTAGGAATTAAGATGGTAACTTATTTGTTAAAAAGAATTTTAGGACCCCCTCAAACTCCTTAATCACACATTAAATCAAACACAAGTTAGTTGACAATGACAAACTGTAAAATTCTAATGTGAAGATATGAGGTTACCTGGTCGTCGTGAACGTCTTTGAGCGTGTAGCTGACCACGCTGATGCCCATGTTGACCAGGTCAGAGGAAGCCACCTTAAAAACCTGCTCTGAGAACTTCTTTCGGTCCTTGTAGATCTCCTGTAGGAGGAAGATGTTTCCTGTGATGTTGAAGCTAGAGTTGCGTACTCATAATAAAATCCTAAGAATACAAGTCAGATCAGTTTCACATGTTCAGCCCTGTTATCAGCGTCAGTGTTTGATGGAAAGCAGTGTGACTTAAACAAACCTTTAGGATGAATCTTTCCAGTAAATTCAACATTGAAACGAACAACCAACAGATGCTCACAGATGCTCACCTCAACAGTCAGGTGGGCGATGATAGCCCGCTGGTGTCCCTCCAGCGTCTCCAAGGCGATCTGAGCGATCTCGGCCTCTGACTTCCCCATGAACATTTGGCAGGCTGCAGCCAGCATCTGTTTATTCTGACCCTGGATCTTCATCTGTAGGAAACAGCAACTCGTTTATTATTAAGACTGCAGAGAAACACCGACATGATCACTGGGTTCACTCCTCATGTCCACATTGTCAGATGTGGTTTAAACTACATTTGGATACTTGAATTGTACAATACATTTTCCTTTAAATAATAAGTTTATACTCATCACTTCTTTATTTAACTCCTAACAGATAGGGGACCCTGGGACAAAATGGGGGTCAGAGGTCTAATTTGTTTCAGTTTAGGGATCTTTGACATGAAGAGAACCACTGCACTAGTCTCCACCTGCCCACCTGAGCAAAAACCTCCTCTGCACACTGACCTGGGCAATCCCGGTTACAGAGATGGGCACCCCATGACGAGTGTAGACTTTATCGCTCTTCACGTTCAGAGTCAGAGTGTTCAGGGAAATCCTAGAGAGAGGAAGGGTAAACCACGCAAAGGAAAAGATTATCGATTGATTATTCACTGCTCTAATGTTATACATTAAAGTGTAGTAATATGTTCTCATATTGAGTTGCAAGCACTGAGTGCAGGACTGAACAGGTACCAAGACCAGGTTCAACACTCAGACAAACAAAACGCTAAGTCTGGTGCCATTTAATGGACTGAACGTAGGAGGAGGAGCAGGTATATCTGAAGATCCAAATATGTTCTAGCCTGCAGGCTAATGATGTTGAATTTGAAAAGGGAGAAAGGGAGATAGAAATCAAACTGCTCTTATGAGGTAAACAATGTAAGTACAGCACAAATGACAGGAGAATATGGAAGATCCAAGTAGGATCAAAACATACACACATACATTTTTGTAGCATGGAGGAAGTGCACGGGCGTTACCTTTTGTCAATGATGCAGTTTTCTGATAGCCTTTGTACTTATGTAATGTACATATAATCACTCTCCTCCTAAAGCTAAAAAGCGTCTCCCAAATGCAAAAAACTCTAAACGTAAATTAAAGTGTTTTATGCAGCAATGTCAGAAGATTCCAGAAGATAAATCCTTCATGTTTGCCAACCTTTGTATCTGCTGAATGCACGGGAAAACGAACACTCTGCCTCCAGCTATCATCATTGGAGGAGAACGACAGAACCCTGAGAGAGACCAGAGACCAAGCAGAGCCTTAAAATCTGAGTTTAGACATGACTACGATTGAGTGATATGAACAAAATATTGCATCAAATTTCCATCACACAACAACTTTTGCAGCATGTTTCACTTCAGAATGAAATATTCAACCAGTAAAAGTTAAGTAACATAGAAACTAATTCTTATTTCTATAACCTCATGTTATTAAATGTTTGTATATTAGTCAGTTTTGTCCACTATTACAGACAGCGTCCAAATGTCCAGAAATGAATGAATAACAACAGTTATATACTCTTAATTATGGTATTATACTTATAATAAAATAGGCCATGACTTTACCTGACACCACCATAGCCTCGTTGGGACCACAGGTGTAGAACATGTTTGCTGATCCTCCCTCAGACTGAAAAACAGCAGTAGAATAATACATAAAATCATTCACTATTAAAGTCCCACCTCACAAACGATGTCAAATCCAGAGGCACCAATGTGGAAGATGCGCAGTGGTGGGGATCACTATACTACTGTATACATACAATTATATTATTATCTTATTTTAAAAAATAAGGCCTCCAACAGTTTATGCTGTAACAGAATGAGTCCCATATAAAAGCAGAGGGAGGGGTTGTGATGGGTACCAGACCAGCAGGGCTCAAATCTAATTTACACAAATGTTGCGCAGTAAAACCCGCAAGAAAACCCGCATGAATAACAGAAAGCACCACACACAAGAGCCACTTTTTAGGGCAGAATAAAGCTTTTTAAAATATCCGTATATTTCACATTTCTCTGTGAAAACTGCTAGTGGCTAGCCTCCTATCCAATAACTCAATTTGGCTCACACATTGTGTTTACTATGGAGAATTGCTGTGGATAGAGGATAATAATAATACACACTTACCGGTTAGTATATAAACGATGTGATTCTGGTAGAGTAAGGTGGAAGTGGTGGAATAAGTAGCGGTCTGTTTTGGTTAAAATTGGTGTAATATTAATCCCAGGTCACGTTTATTCTCGTTATGAACCAGCTGATGCGGCCAGTAAATACAACTGCAGCTCAGTGGCTTCTACTGCGCATGCCCTTTATTTAATCCGTGTGTTACCGCCATCTAGTGGCCTGATGGGAAACCGTCATAAATACTCCTCAGTGTCCTGAGTGGTCCATTGTTAATGGGATTGTAATGTACTTTCACCGTGAATTACTTAAATAAATATGGTCCAGCGCATACAGTTTGTTCAAATGTATTGTTTGGTATGGTAGTTTGACTTTATTATCAGGTAGTAGTAGTTATAATGAAGATTTGTGCATGTCAGAATACAAATAGCCTATGTAAGCCTACTGTATATTATTTTAAAAGCACAAATTACAGATGCAGATATATCCAGATGTTGTAGTAAATCTTTCTATTTCCTTCTTTATAACCATCCAGTTTTTGCTCCTCATAAAAAGACAGATTTTGAAAACATACATTGACATACCGTTCATGATAACTTTATATTTTCAAATGTAATTTTACATTTATACAGGATTATCTTGTATATACTGTTGATACATGTTTGTGATATTGTTGTGCTGATTAATAATAGCCTTCCTCTGTACATCCAAACACAATAATCAGCTATTTCTTCTTTATATCCTCGTTTCTGCTCCACACATTAGATAAATAGTTGGCCTATTATTATATGTTAAACAGGCATGTTCATTTTATTTTCTTATTATCAGAATAAGAATCAGCTTCATTGGCCAAGCATAGTATGCACACATTCAACGAAAAAACTTTTTTTGTTGCTTTCAAACTTACACAGAAATAAACATAAAAGCTAAGACATGAACAACAAAGATGAACAAATAAATGTAAACAGGACTATTAAGGTAAAGTATAGTGGAAAATGTGTGTATATAAATATATATATAAGTGTTTCTGTGTCTAATAATATGAAATATAATAGTATATAATGAATAAAACATGCCATCCTGTTCTTTTCTACTCTGCATTGTTTCATTGAGGCTCCAACGGGGCAGTGATGACAAAACCCGGCACTCCCTCTCCTCTTCCTGTCCTTGCCTTTGAGCCGAGGAAACCCCTCTAGTAGTTTCGGCCAATCGGCACCGAGGCTGCAGCGACAGCAGCCAATCATTAGCGTGAACGACGTGATGGGCCGCGTCCCAAAACTTTGTCTCCGCCTGCAGGACCGAGAGCAGTCTGCACACTGTGTGAGCCTGTCTGTCAGTCAGTCTGTGATCAGTCAGTAGGTCAGCAGCTCTTTCTCCTCCACACTTTACTTACTAACTAACATCCATCATGAGGGAAATCGTGCACATCCAGGCCGGCCAGTGCGGGAACCAGATTGGTGCAAAGGTAAGAAATGTTATGTTAATAGCACTTTATTACATTTCTTTATTTTTTTTTTAATGCCAGTTAAGATTGTCATTCTGTAACTTATTTAAATAGACCTTTCTTTTGTTTGTGTGATTTGAAAGTGTCAGAAAATAATAAAATGTTATTACAAAAGACAAAAAACAACTTTTTTTTTTAAAGCAAAACAACAAAAGATATAGCCTACATAAAGATAGGGGGGCTGAAATCTGGCAGCCCTATTGTTTTCACTGCAGCCTCCTGTTTCAAAGACTCATTTAATCTTCTCATCTTTCACCAGTTTATGGTTTAATCTTAAATTGTGTGTGAGTGGTGTAGTTCAGCAAAACACCTCAGTCTCTATACTTAAGATACATTCTGGGTATAAAGTCTTTTATTGTCTTACTAGCACCAAATTCATTTCGTTTTCGTTGCAAGCTACCTACATCCAAACAAAATGTATATGTTTTAATTACATTTATTCTCCTGCACAAATGAATCAGTAAAACTATGAAATAACACTCAACTCAGTCAAAATAGAAATTAAATAGAATATCTGACTTAATATTAACCACTTACTATAAGAACGTCCCATTTTCCTATGGGCTGCATAATTAAACGTCTTTGCATAATTCTTTTGCATACAGTAACAATTCACACCTCTGTAACTGTTGACAAAACAGTGACTCAAGTCATTGATCCATGATTAATGAAGTTGGCCAGACTGGAGCAGGCGCTCAGGGCCAGCTGCTGTCTCGACCGCCTGGTGAGTCGGACTCTTTGTCACTGAGAAAAGGGAGAGGAAAAAAAAAAAACAAGAGGAGAGGGTGAAAAGAAAGGAGAAATTTGCTGAGGCAGAGGAGAGGAACGCAGCAGGAGGGGGTGAAGGGGGAATAGATAACAAGTGTCTCAGTGTCTGCTCTGAAAGCACAGATGAGGTCATTTAAAAGGCTGCTTTTTCAGTCAGTGTATCACATGCAGACGCCCCGGGCCCCCAAACCACCAGTGACCCCGAAAACCTTGTTTACACGAGGACATAAAGAGATTATCTGCGGAATAAGTGCTTTCTGTTTCGTCACATTTTTTGCATGCAGTGATTTTAAATGTCCTGTGGTGCTTCTACACTTCAGATCAACTGTCAGTCAAACAGAGCCGCAACGATTAATCAGTTAGTCAATCAAAATTAATCTGCAGCTTTTTTGTTATTGTGTTTTTGCAAAAAATGCCAAATATTTGTTTGTTTCAGCTTCTCAAATGTGAATATTTGATGGATTTTAATCAATGGAGTGTCTTTGAAATATACAGATGGGTGACAATTAAAGGAAAACCCACCACAAACTTCTGAGTCTCTGGATCCCTCTCCATTCTCCCATATGTGTTCAATTTATTCACATCATTTATTACTTATCAAACCAATCAATGATCCCTCGTGTCCTGTATGAAAGCATCTGGATTTGTCACATTTCTCCACTCATCCATTCAGGTCTTCTCTTTAATATGTCACTGGTCAGTGGTTTTTGACTGTTGTTTGAAGCAATTTGAAGATGTGATGACCAATTTTCACTATTTGTTGACATTTTATAAACTTAACATTTAGTTGATGAACCAAGATAATGATCAGAATTTGAATGAATCGATTACGTAAATAATCGTTACTTGTGTCCATGCAATCAAACAGAGGAATGACTACCAATTAAAGGTCCAGTGTGTAGGATTTACTGGCATCTAGCAGTGAAGTTTCAGTATTTGGTGACCTGGGAATGAGAAACCAGTGTTTGGTTTGTC